GAGCCTGCTTCTCCCTCTCCCACTCCCCCTGCTTGTGTTCCCTCTCTCGCTGTGTCTCTGTCAAATAAATAAAATCTTAAAAAAAATAAAAATAAAATAAAAATAAAAAACTTACATAATCTCTAATATGCATAATAATCTCTAATATTCATAGTAACTCTGTAAAATAGGCATTATTATCCCTAATTTACAGAAGAGACTGATAGAAGATAAATAAGTTGCGCCAGTCATACAGCAAATTATATTGTCAGAATTCTAACCCAAGTCTGCTTGACTCAAAGGCATGTGCTATTTTCACTGAACCACAGTTCTGTGGTATAGGACTCAGACTCAGAGCTCTCTAGTAATCAGAGCTGTACTGACAAAGGAATGGATCACCCCATTCCTGAAAAGATATAGAGGCAAGAGGACTATCTGTCTTGAGTAATGTCTAGAGGGTTTCAGTTTGGGTGGGAGGGTAAGATCTTTTAAACCCTAAGATTCTATTCTGTTGAGAAGTCATTCATTTGACTTTGTTATCCATAGAGGAGTATGAAAACACTGCTGAATGAGGCTGGCAGTTAGTGATGGTCCTCACTTTGTCCAGCCATATAGAGGTAAGGATTAGTAAAACAAATCCAAGGAGTTTTTGTTTGAAAGCCCAACCAGCCAGACAGTTCATATGCATATGGATTGAAAGTGAGCTGGCAGGGACTGGGTACAGAAAGGGTAAATCCTCTTTTTTGAAAATTGACTGCTTATGGTCAGTCAACCTGAGAAATCCAAGTATAAACTGCCTTGATTCTGAAGCTTCTCATACCCAGCATAGTTTAGGAAAGGTCACTGGATTGGATGTTAAGAAGTCTGGTTCTAGCCCATCCTTTCTCCAGTTCATTGGTTGATTGGGCAATTAACTGAACCTCTGATCCTCTCTCTTGCCATCTGGAAAACAAAGATCTGCCAACTCTAAAATGGATACATTTAGTGCGCCTGGGTGGCTCAGTTGGTTAAGCGACTGCCTTCGGCTCAGGTCATCATCCTGGAATCCCTGGATCGAGTCCCGCATCGGGCTCCCCGCTTGGCAGGGAGTATGCTTCTCCCTCTGACCCTCCCCCCTCTCATGTGCTCTCTCTCTCTCTCATTCTCTCTCTCAAATAAATAAAATCTTTAAAAAAAAAATTAAAATAGTGATATAAATGCATGTGTGCATGTTTACACATACATATATTCCCTACCTCTGTCCAGTAACAGGACCTGGAAGCAGTGAAACCCCAACAGCAATTAGCACACCTAACACCCAGATCTTGACTTCTAAATATTCTCTACTTAAAAAAACCAAGGCTCCTTGGAGAAATCAGCAGTTCCAGGGCTGGGGGCAGAGGGAGTGGGAATACAAAATGAGCCTTTTTTTAATACAAGAATATCTTTTTATACCAGAAAATAAGAAAATGCTCAAAGAATGCCATCAAAAAGACTAAGAAAGCAGTCTGAAAGCACTGACCAAATAGGGAACAATTTAGGCATCAACATAAATGACAGTATTGGATTATAACCCATCAAATAAAACAGGAATTCATAAGCCCATTCTATTATAATAGATTGAAAATCTGATGAAGAATAGGGTAATTACCTGGTTTCAAAGTACCTTTCCATAAAATATTTATTACAAAGATAAAAACATATTTTAAAAGAAGAACTGGCAGATGCCACCTTAATCAATTAAACAAAATTATAAATAAAAATCACGTGTCACCTGATAGGAGGCAAGGAGTAAAACTACAGCATCACTTCTGTGGTATTTCTGCCAAAAATACATAATCTGGATCCAATCATGAGGAAAAATAAGATAAACCCAAATTAAGACCATTCTACAAAATGGCTTGTAATGTTCAAAAGTGCCATAGTCATGAGAGTCAAAGAAAAACTAATGAACTGTTCTACATTGAAGGAGACTAAAGAGACATGACAACTAAATTCGATGCATGATTCTGGGTTGGATCCTTTTGCTATAAAGAACATTACTGGAACAACCGGCAAAGTTTGAAAGGGGTCTGGGGTTGGATATGTAATTGTACTGTATGCTAATTTCTGAACTTTGATGGTTGTATTATTGTTATATAGAATGTTCTCTATTTGTAGAAAATACACACTGAAACATTTAATGACGTGAGAACTTACACTCAAATGATTCAGGAAAAAATAACATTTGTGTCTTACTTACTTACTCTTCTCTAATTCCGAGATTAATTCAAAATAAAATGTTAAGAGAAAGAGAAAGGACTGCACTGGTGGTTACCAAACA